AGACTGGAGTGCAGTGGCCGCTCCTGGCCACCGCAGCCTCGACCTGCTGGGCTCCGGCGATCCTTCCGCCTCAGCCTCCCAAGTAGCTGGAGGCATGTGCTACCACGCCCGGTTGATTTTTTGATTTATTGTAGAGGTGAAGCCTTGGTCCCCAGGCAGGTCTCAAACCCGCGGGCTCAGGCAATCCACTCACCTCAGCCTCCCAAAGGTGCAGGAGGCAAGAGTTTTTTTACAGGTCAGCGAAGAGACAGGCTTTTGTAAAATCACACATTACTGATCACAGCTATTTAAAAGTTTTTTTAAAAATTTTTAGTTACATTAAGGCTTACAAGAAATTGCAGACCAGGATGAGGGCAAGCCTCCTGGCTGGGTTCGCTCCTCGCGTGAACAGTGAGGTGGGGTGTTCGTGGTCCAGGAGTAAGGGTCAGGCGCCGAGCGGAGATCTCACGGTGCAACGAGCAGAAGGGCCTCCGGTGGATTTCAAGAGAGGGTGGTCCTGGGACTGACCCTGGCATCGCGTCGTGCCCCAGCTCGTGTGGTCACGTCTCTCCCTGGGCTGGTTTGCTCCGACCGCGCGCCAGCCTGGGTGTCGACGCTGAGGGCTGGCCCTGGCCGGAGCCAGGTGGGAAGAGGGCTGACGTGTGTGTCCCCCCCAGTGCTGCTACACACAGCCACCGCCAATGGCTTCCAGATGGTCACCAGCGGGGCCCAGAGCAAGGCCGTGAGCGACTGGCTCATCACCAGCGTGGAGGTGAGTGCCTGGCCGCGGCCCAGCCGCCGCGGCACCCCAGTGCCCACGGGGGCCCTGGCAGGCCTCGCTTGCCACCTGGCTTGCCGAGAGCCCTCCAGGGACGCCCGTGACGGCCGGTTGGCCCCACCGGCCCCGGTGTGTCCTGCCTCCGTGAGCCCCGGCTGGCCACCCGCTGCAGTTGCCCCACCCGGGAGGCCTTTGCACAGGCAGGGCCCTTCCCGGAAGCTCGGGGGTCCTTCCTGTCCGCTCAGACCTAGCAGTGAGGAGGGCTTGGGGGGGACGTCCTGGGGCCTCCTCTCTAAGAAGACCTTGGGAGGACTCAGAGCAGGATGCTGGAGGTGGGCTCGGTCGGGGAGTCCTCGGCCGCCGCCTCTGATGCCTCGGGGTGGGGCCTGCTCACCTTTCTGGAGGAGAGCTCGCCTGTGTCCGTCCCCTTCTGGGTCTTCAGCCCCGTGGGCCTGAGCAGGCGGGTCCCTCTCGGCCCTGGGGAGGCCCCGGGGAGGCTGACGTCTCGCTGGGCACCAGGTGCTGAGGTGCTGGCGTGAGGGCGGGACGGCCCGTGTGGTTCGAGGGGTCTCCTGCCCCAGAGGCGGCCTGGGCCATCCCGGGCATCCAGCGCTCACGGACGTCTCTCCGCAGGGGCGGCTGACAGGGCTTGGCGGCGAGGACCTGCCCACCATTGTGCTCGTGGCGCACTACGACGCCTTCGGAGTGGCCCCTGTACGTGTGCGCGCCACCAGCCCCGGGATGGTGCCCACCCACCCGGCGGCCCCTTCCTGCCATCTCACTCTGGGCCCCCAGGCGGCAGCATTGTGTGGCTGAGACCTGCCTCCGGGGGGTGTCTCCCAGACAGGGTCCCAGGCGCAGGGGTGGCCAGCCCAGGGTGTCCTTAAAGGCCACCCGGGCATGGTGACCCACTGGGAGGACTCCTGGGATTCCGGGTGGTTGTCCTTGCGGAGTCAGCGAGGGGTGCGGTGCATGGCGTGAGAACCCAGGCCCGGCTTCTAGAACCTTCTCCCGTGGAGTCTCACAGGACCCGTTCATCCCCTGGCAGCAAGCTGGGACACACGTGAAACTGTGTCCTCAGGGCAGCGCTGGGCACCTGGGGGCTGGTCAGGCGGCCCTGCTCTGCCCTGCCGAGTCCAGACCCAGAGGCGAGCAGGGTCAGGCACAAGCGGCGTTGGTTTGCAGGGGCTGGGCCAGGGTCCCACGTGCAGCCTTAGGCCTGCAGTGCCCACTCAGGCCTGACGCTGGGCGTGGTGGGTCAGGGCCTGGCCAGGGCAGATGCTGCCGGCTTCCCAGGAGAGTCTTCCTCTGAGCCTAGCAGGGAGGGGATGGCATGTGCACCGCTGCCCCCGGGCTCGCTGCCTGGCATGGCTGGGCCTGAGCCAGGGCCGAGGCTGCCCGCCTGGAGGGCCAGCCCCGTCCTGGGGCTGCGGGGCCGCTGGCGCTGGGCAGGCAGTGGAGGGCGGGGCTCAGCCCCTGCCCCATTCTCAGGCCCAAGAAGCCTTGGGAGGCATCTCTGGGCATGGAGGTGCTTGCGTTCTCGTGTCACTTGGGAGTCGCCCTTTTAAACGGATGGCTCAGTGGCTTTTAGCAGGGAGCCGTGAGACTGTCCCCCCAGGAGGAAGCCCATCCTCAGCCATCACCCACGAGGCCCCAGCCTGGCTCTGTGGACTGGCCTGTTCTGGACGTTTTGTAGCGATGGGGTCGCAGTGTGTGTCCTCTAGGGGCCAGGTAGCTCACCGAGTCGGCGTCGCCCTGAGTCTCAGCGCCATCGCTGGACCCTGACCTGCCGTGGCCTTGGGGCGGCCCCAGCCGTTGTGTTCATGGGCTTTTTCTCTCCCTAAGAGCCAACTGTGCCCCTGCTGAGAATGTCGCTTCAGTTTTGCTTTTTACTTACCTGTTTTTTCCAGTTGGGGGTTCACTCTGTCGCCCAGGCTAGAGTGCAGCGGCACCACCGTGGCTCACCGCAGCCTCAACCTCTTGGGCTCATGCGATTCTCCTGCCTTGGCCTCCTAGCATGCTGGGATTACAGGTGTGAGCCACCACACCCAGCTGAGACTGTCGCTTTAGAACACAGCGTACAAAAATCGTGCTGGCCCGTCTCCCCGCAGCCGGGCACGCGGGTAGCCGAGCTGGGTGGATGCCACCCGGACAGAATCGGCCAGCCAGGACCTGGCCCCGGGCTCAGTGCAGTGTCCCCTGGGCACAGGCAGGGCCGCCGTGAGTGGGAGAGCCCTGGGCGCATCCGTCAGCTTGAGGTCCTGTGGCGGGGGAGGGGCAGGGTGACGCGG